GGGGGCGGGGCTGGCGGCAGCAAGCAGAGGCCCAGGGCCCCTCAGGGCTGTCTCGGGTTGCAGGCACTCCTATCATTGCTAATCACTTGTAATCTACCTGCTTGGCTGCCCTCCAATCAGATAGCTTCAATTATGTGGTTGTAATGCAGCCCCAAGGAGAAAGTGCTGAGCCGGGCACTTCTCGGAGATTTCCTGATAGCCAGGGTCACATCCAGGAGTGGCCGCCACCCCTGGCCAGCTGGGGTGGGCGCCCTGTGAAGGTAGCCCCGCTGGAGACCAGGCTGCTGCATCCCCTCCCTGACCTCCTCCGCTGCATTCTCTGGGCGCCCACGCCCCGCCGAGCTCTGGGGCTCTGCGCTCATCCAGTTGGCCCTGTTGATCTGTCCCATTGCTGGCCAGCGGGGCCTGGCAGGAGGCCAGCACGCCCTGTGCTGACTGGGAGTGGCACCACCCATCTGATGGGTGCCCCCCTTTAACCCAACCTGGCTCCCGCGGTGTTCCCCTGGATCCAGATATCACCTACCCTCCCTGTGCAAGCAGCAGCATCCAGGCTCTGGGGAGACAGCCCCCGCAAGCTGCCCCCTGGGCTGGACCAGACCCCAGCCAGTGCCCTTCCCGCCTGCTCGAAGCACCGCCCAGCCTGAGTCAGCACCAAAGCCACCAGGCTTTTCCATTATCCCAGTGTCCCTGGTACAGGGTGTCTGCCATAGACGCCCCCAGGGTTCCACGGATGAGAAGGGCAGCGCCCCCGGGCCTTAGAATGGGGAGGCAAACCATAGTTCCCTGGTGTAGCTTTTCCACCTCGGAAAAGAGAGGTGAGCACGGGAGCCAGAGGGGCTCCCTGTGAACAGGTCACGGCCGGCCAACTGGTCTCTTTCTGATGGACAACAGCAGACGGGGTGTATCTGGAAAAGCCTCTCACAACTTCCTTGTGAACAAATACTGACCCCCAGAGGTTTGCCCTGGAAGCAAGCCTGGGAGACAAGAGGATCAGCCTTGCAGCTGACACAGAGGGTGCCGAGACCGACAGCTAACACCCTCTAGCGCCTCGACAGCACAAACAGAGGCCTCCTGGACCCCCTGACACAGCCTCACCACGACACATTCAAAGTCATCTCCCTTCGGGGCTTCCCTGGTGGTGCAGCGGTTAATAATCTGCCTGCCAACGCAGGGCATATGGGTTTGAGCCCTAGTCCAGGAAGATCCCACATGCCGCGGAGCAGCTAAGCCCTTGCGCCACAACTACTGAGCCTGTGCTCTAGAGCCCACGAGCCACAACTACTGAGCCCACGTGCCACAACTACTGAAGCCCGCGTGCCTAGAGCCTGTGCTCAGCAACAAGAGAAGCCACCGCAATGAGAAGCCCGCGCACTGCAACGAAGAGTAGCCCCCGCTCGCCGCAACTAGAGAAAGCCAGCGCACAGCGACGAAGACCCAACACAGCCAAAAATAAATTAATTAATTAATTTAAAAAAAAGAAAGTCGTGTTCCTTCGGCAGACATTTGCGGGGACCTGCTTGTGCCAGGTGCTGAGCCAGCGCTGGGGACACACGGGAGAAATGACCGGCCCTGTCCTGCGGGAGCTGTTGCTTCCCACCCATCAGGGACATAAAGTGGAAGGGAGCCAGTGTTGAACTCCGTGCCTGTGAGAATCCACGGCCCCGGAGAGGACCCAGGAGTCTCGGAGAGAAGCCAACTAAGACATGAGAGTCTCCCTGCTCAGCTGAGCGCCTCCCCAGGAAAATGCCTGGGCCAGAGAGCCACTGGGCCCGCGAACGGGCAGCCTCGACCTTCCTTTCTTTGCCTGAGGCGCTTCAGGTCCTGCAAGGGGGTCAGAGTCTGCTGCTCTTCCATTGGGATCCGGAGACGGAGGCCCCACGGGTGAAAGTTACTGGATTAGTAGGTGACCTTTTTGGCGTGAGTGCTCTGACTGGGAGTGTTTCTTCAAGCAGGGGCTTCCCACCTTGGGAAGGTGGGAAGGAAGCTCCCAGCCCAGCTGGGGAGGGGGGCCGCTGGCCGTCCCGCTCTAAGATTCCAGGAGCCACTTCTAGAGTAACTCCTGGCACTCCCAGCCCTGCTTCTCAGCTGTCTTATGTCCCTCCTGTGTCAGGCCTCTGTCACTTCTCTGACTCTCCTCTTGGCCTTCCCCAGGCAGCCTGATGTTAGAAGCAGGAGGTGCGGGGCAGCAGGCGGTGCGGGGTCCAGCTTTTGTCCAGACCTGCCCTCTCCTGTCTGTAGATTCCGCCTGCAGGGCCCCCCGGGGGTGCGAGTTGGGGACCACCTCCCTGGAGTACTCATTCATTCAAGGTCATGCGGGTCCCCTGCAGGTGTCCTCCCCACCCACTTGTCCACCCTCCATCGTGGGACAGCCAGAGGGACCTCCTCTCAGAAACTCCTCCCCTTCTCCCAAATCTTCCTCTGGGGCCACCTCACCTTGGCACCATGGGCCTCACACGGCCTGCCCCATGGCTGTCTCTCCTCCCCCACCAGCAAGCTCCGCAGCAGCAGAAACTCCACCTGGAGCAGCGGCCTTTGGTCCCCTGTGCTCTTGGCTCTCAGGGCTTAAGAAAAGTAAAAGGGGTGGGCCGTGGCGGGAGTGCACCACTGCAGGGTGAGACTCAGCCGCGTGCCACCTCCACGCAGGCATGGTGCGAGCAGACAGCACCATCAACACCAATGCCACAAGCGCAGCGGCCAGCAGAGAGCTCCTGGAGCGTGGCATCATTCACAGAGTCCAAAGCGGACACACAGCTCCACTCAAGGTTCGGAAGAAGGCTTCACGAGTGAACGGCTTGAGGCCACATGCGGAGAATATGCCTCCTCCAAGGCTGGCTCACCGCCCACCAGGGGCGAGCCATGTCTGGCAGGCAGCTGACAGTCACTGCACGAGTGCCCAGGAGGTCTTGGAGGACCAAAGATGAGGAGAGATGGGGCCATA